CATAATTAAAATTCTCAAACCTAAACCAAACCGTTTTTGACCGGTTTGGTTTGGTTCAAAACCATTTCGTTGACGGGTCCACGTGGCACCAAACCGTCGGTTTCGAAATTGCGGTTTCGGTTCGATTTTCCGGTTTGGCGGTTTTTGCTTACAGCCCTAGTTGCCAGGGAGTAACTGTGTTCATTCTAGTTATTGATACTTTAGATTCATCTTTATTGTTAATCTTGTTGTTTTAGGCTAGTGTTACTTTATTTCATTCTCTTGTGTCTTGACTATTTTCAGGAAAACTTGGTTTATGCAAGCTCCTGACAAGGTTGATTTAGCTCCAATAGATCACGAAATCGAAAGGATATTTAGAAATCGTAAAAGAGGACAACATCAAGCAAGGAAAATGATTGATAATTAGAATCAACCACAGAATCCAGCTCAGGTTCAAGTTCACAATAAACCACCGCAGCCAAATCAACAGAGAGCCAACCAGAATGAAGCTCCCATTTTAGTTGGGGATTATGTAAATCCAATCCCTGCTTCGGTGCAACCCCCTATGGTGTATCTACCCTTCGGACAACCTAACTTTCACCTTAGATAGGATGTCATTAGTCTTTTCCAGAATCATCAAGACTTCGATTTTTTGGGAAATTCACGAAGAATCCTCATGAACACATTTTAGCATTTCTCATGTTATGTGAAGTTATTAATCACGAAGGGATATCAATAGATGCATTCCGAATGCGATTATTCCCTCATACCTTGACGGAGGCTGCAAGAGAATGGTTCATCTGTTTACCTCCAGGGAGTATACAATGGTGGAATGATATAGTTCAAGAATTCACATGAAATTCTTCCCACCTTCTCGAGTTCACCAAATTAGGAATCAAATCCACATCTTGAACTTCAGAACTATTTTGAAGCATGGGAGAGGTTCAAGAATTTGTTTGGAATAGCCTGGACAATCCAAAGCAGGCTAAACAATATCTCTTCTATAATGGGCTACACGAAGGGTTCAGAAATATGATAGATGCTTCA